ATGATGAGACCAGATCCCACCAGAAATGCACCAAGCAGCAGTAAGAGTAGTAGTAGTACCAATAGCAGCAGTAGCAGCAACAGTAGTAATGGTAACACTAGGAGTAGTGGAAGATTCTCTTTGTTACTATCTCATCTTCATTCCCAATAGTTTCCTGAACATTGAATTGTTACGTGACGGGACCGTATAGAATTTCTCGTTATGTCAAGCTAGATGCATCAGACGGATACGCTGCATGCATTAATCAAACCATTTGTAATTAACCAAGACAATGAAGTAATAAATATTAAGGTAATAATAAAACGATTGAAAACTTTAGGTAAACGACGATATACTATTCCTAAGTAACCCTATAGACATCGCTTTTGCAAGATGAGCTCATTGGTTTTTGGCGCGTGCACAGGTTTTAGCGATAACTTTGAAAAATAATATTAGAGATACAGCAGATGATGTTGCAAATATGAAAATTATGGATACTTGTAACAAAGTTGTTCGATCTGATGAAATTACAAATGTCAACTATGTTCGTTTTATTTAAATATACTTACTGATATTGATCTGTATTATTTTACTATATCATCTTGCTGTTACATCTTTTCCAATATACACACACACATCAGTGAACTAATATTTACCATCGGAATCGATGACGATGTTGAGGAATTAATTAACGAGGCGTCTCAATAAAGAAAAGGGGAAATGTGATTTAGGTTTATATTATGTAGTATATATTGTGTAATAATAATATTACCCAAATCTTCCTTCACATTTTTATTGGACTGATACTCTCATGAGATAAACGTTAAAAAATTTTGTGAAAGCTCATCTCAAAGAGGGTTCATTCGTTTCATTCGCAAATTAATATCTATCATTGTATCTCATTTATAATCTTTCGTAATGCCCTCAACCTAACATTTCGAGTTAATTGTCCAACAGTATAAAACTTCTTCTCAAATCTGCATTAATGATAGCAATCGCGTCAAATATCCTCTTGAGAATCATCTTTCTTTCTTTCAGGTGATGGTCATCTAAGAATATCCTTGCCTGGCCAGAATTGGTTTCCTTAGAATATTCACTATTAGATGTTTCATTTCTATCGGTATTACTTGCAACGGAAGCCTCCGCTACATTTTCTATCCATTTATCCACTCTCTCCGCTGCAACTTTTGCTGACGCAAGGATCGGCTCAATGGATTTTAGGTAAATGATGGTGCGATTGAATTTTTCGTGAGTTGCATATGCATAGTAACCCAATGCGACACTCAGAATACAGCTGACGGCGCTCTTTTGATGAAA